AATTTTATACTATTTAACCTTAACCCTTTTTATAAATTACCTATCCTTTTTTTTATTTTACCCTCTTTTTTATTAAAAAATTATTAAAATCGTAGTTTTAATAGCTTATTAATAAGCTAATATTATTATTTAAAAATAAGTAATTTATTTTTATATATAAATACTAAGAGTTTTATTATTATAAAAATAGTAATAAATATATTAAAATACTTAAGAGAGCTTTTTAATAAATTTTTAATATTATTTAAAGTAATTATTCTTAAGCTATAAAAAAAAGCTAAGGTACTATATTAATATAGCCTTATTTATTTTATTAATATTAATAATACCCTTTTTAATATAAAATATATTAATAATATTTTATAACTACGTTATTATACTTTATAAATTATACTTAATAATAATAAGGACTTTAATATTTTTTTTTAAGTTTTTTATTAAAGTTATTATCGTAGGGTTAGTTTAGTTATTAATATCTTAGTAAGTATTTTAACTTAACTTAGAAGCTCTTATAGCTCTTAATAAAAGGTTTTTAAAGGACTTATAATTAGACTTTTTACTTATTATAAACAAAGCTATTATAATTAAAATTATAATAATTAAAACTATAATACTACTTATAAACTTTAATAATAAGTAGTTAGTAATATAATTATCTTTTTTTTATAATAAGCTTAAAAAATATTTTAATTTAAATACTAAGTAGGTACTATATTATTTTATTAAAACTGTATTTTTATACTTGTGACTTAGAAAGAATTAACTTTCTTTGATAACAAGGTACTCAGACTAAACTGCTCCATGGGAAAGGGCAAGGGTATCGTTTATGTTGTATCCTTGATCTCATTGTAGAAGGCCTCTGGGCCAGTGTTGATGTTGTCAAATCTCGAAGATGTTTTGAGTGAGTTGAATGTATGATTCACCTGGTTAGTCAACCCACTGCCACCAAATGGTGTAAGCAATGCAAGGAAATCATCGTCCGATATTCTGCAGCTCTTTGACACTGAGCTGCTGTGTGCTTTGGCTTTGGCCCCGGGAGGCCTACACTACCTTACTTCAGCTGAAGGTTGTTTCCTCAGTCTCGTATTGGGGCCAGGACAATGGCTGTTGATGAGATGCCGTAAGCCAAGACAACAGGCGCGCGGTGGGCCTTTGGACGCTGACCGAGTCTGTGTCTGGCACCTGGATAGGAGATGGTTCGAGTTGAGCTTTGACGCCATCGCGACACGACGGCGACGGTCTTGACGTGACGGTGGAAATTGCGGTAGGGAGGCCAGGAGGGGGCCAAGACGGGCCATGACAGACCGGCTCGATACTGTCGCGCGCTATTGGAACTAGTACCGAATAGGCAGCATCCCTTATCGTGTCTTTTTCGTCCGACCAGCGACCACATCAAGGACCAGGGTACTAGCAGAAGAGCAGACAGGGGCTTTAATGCAGGTACAAGGGCATCGTTGAGTGAACTGGCCGATGCATGCACGCCACCGAGCTAACGAGCGCACCAGAACAAGCCGCATGGGCAAATCTCTTGCTGCTTTTCCTGGCCACATGCGTACACAGCGGATACAGTTGCTGCTCTTTGGTGGGCAGTGCCCCGAGAAGCATAGGGAGCTGGAACCAACCCGCCCGAGGAAGCAAGGTAACGACGGCAAGACGGGAAGCGGGCCAGGCAAGGGCCAAGGGGTGCTGCTGGCAGGCGGAGACTGAGGGAGACCGAGAGCAGTCGGTACTTGCGATGTTGCCATTATATGCTCAGGGCTGAAGGTGAAGCGTTCTGCAGTGTTTCACTAGTGAGGTTTCGTGGTGGCCGTAGTTGCTGTGCCGGAGGGCATGATGAGATAGTGATCCTTGACTATTCTTGCGAGGTCTGCTCCGTACAAGGCGGCGTACATGGCGAGAGCTGAATTAGAAGCGCCGAGATGCATACTTAGGTTTGGTGGGTGATGGAGCCCTTGGTGCGTGTCAGGACTATCTTGGGTGGTAATATTGGACAAACGGCGAGGCCAGACCAGACGAAGCGGGAGTGGAGTGCTTCAGGTCTGGATTGATCGAGGTGAGGGCGATGGGGAGGCCGAAGAAACAAACGAGGATTGTCGTCGTCGAGGCGTTTGTGAAAGAAACAAATGCGGCCCCGTCCGAACTAGCAAAAGACCGGATCCAAAGTTAACGACAGGAGGTGGACAAGCTGAAAGGCGATCGAGGAGGGGTGCCGGGGGTGGTACGTGGAGAGGCAGAAGAAGAAGAAGATGGGAGGAAGAGAGGAGCAAGAAGACGCGACGAAAAAAGACTGCTGAGGGGTGTGCGTGCAAACGTGGGAGAAGGAAAAGGACTTCGGTACGTACAGTGCGCAGACCCGGTTGATGATTTCCACCGTTGCTGAATTAGGGGTCTCGACGACTGAACCTCCACTGTAAGGCAACGGGTCAAGCGCCGATGTGAGCAATCCTTCGTACTGTATGAAGTAAGCCAAAAGGGGTGAGATAAGCACTGTCAAAGGTCATACCTCCCAAAATGAGCAAAAGGAGCAGAATGGGCAAAAAAGTACATTGGCAGAGGTACCCGAATCGCACTTGGCCTTCCTCATCTTAGCTCGCCCAGGAGGAGCAAGAGCGCCTTTGATCTGCCTGCGTCTTCTCCTGTTGGCGGCGACCTGAGTCCCTGACCTTGCCATTTACCTCCCCGGTCTCGCCTTTTTCCTTCAAGCCCAGCTGGGATTTCTTTCTTCTCTCCTTCGCCTTGTCCGTCGTTGGGAACACTACAAATCTTTCCCTTGCCGCTCTTTCTCGCTGCCATCTCGAGCATTTACTCATCTGCACTGGCGTTGCGACAACCCGGCAAATTTATAGACGATTCGCGGCTTCACATTCGTTATACCCACGCTTGCTTACCGTCGACTACCTCGAGGAACAAGTACTATTCCTCCGCGTCAAGCCGCAAGGCCATTCACTTGTCTCGTCAACCTCAACCTTCGTCTATAACCCATCATGGATCAGGACCAGTACAATCAGGGCTACTACTCCCGCCCAGCAGCTGGAATGCCTTCACAGGCCACCACTGCTACCGGAACCCCTCTTCGCCCCGGCACGCCCAACACTGAAAACAGCAGAAATCCTTTTGGCGATGGTGTCGAGTCCCAAGCTTCTCAGAGAGGGCCCATGGCCGGTACACCAATGGGCACGAACCCATTCGGCACGCCTGCCGTTTCCCGACCTGCCTCGAGCTTCGGCTCGTCCAGTGCCATCGGCGCACGCTTCGATGAGCGATCCCAGCGGTACTTCCACTCCAGACGTATCCGTAAGGAGGATATCGAGAAGCCTTGGTTGGACAAGGCTGACCCCAAGGAGAAATGGGTCACCATCATTCCTATTGTCGGTATCTTTATTGGTCTCGCTGTCTCTGGCTTCCTCGTCTGGGACGGTATCAGAAGTGTCGTCAAACACAAGTACTGCCCTGTGCTCATTGAGGATTTCTCCGGCAGCAGCCTGGATACAAACATTTGGACCCAGGAGGTGCAAGTCGGCGGCTTTGGGTACGTTTCCTTGATTACATTCTTCTCACCCCGCATCACGCTAATCAAATTCCAGTAATGGCGAATTCCAGATGACCACTGCCGACAACGAGAACGTCTTCCTCAAAGACGGCAACTTGGTCATCCGTCCCACTCTTCAAGACTCCGCTCTTATTGAAAAGGACACCGAGATTGACTTGCTCAAGGACGGAACTTGCACTTCCACCGAGTTCTCCGCCTGTGTAACTGCCACCAACACTACTTCTGGCAACTCTTCCATTGTTCCCCCTACTAAGTCTGGTCGCATCAACACCAAGAAGGGTGCCACTCTCAAGTATGGCCGCGTCGAAGTTGTCGCCAAGCTGCCCAAGGGTGATTGGCTCTGGCCCGCTATCTGGATGATGCCCGTCGAGGATACCTATGGTGCTTGGCCCCTTTCGGGTGAGATTGATATCATGGAGTCTCGCGGTAACAACTGGACCTATGCCCAGGGCGGTAACAACATCGTCTCCTCTGCGCTGCACTGGGGCCCCGACCAGGCCAACGATGCCTGGTGGAGAACCAACAACAAGCGTCAGGCCCTGCACACGACCTATGGTGATGAATTCAACACCTTCGGTCTGGAATGGTCCCAGAAGTACCTCTTCACCTACGTCAACAGTCGCCTGCTCCAGGTCCTCTACACCAACTTTGACGAACCCATGTGGAAGCGTGGTGACTTCCCCCAGACTAACTCTAACGGTTCCCGCCTGGAGGACGTCTGGAGTCAAACTGGCCGTTCCAACACTCCCTTTGACCAGAAGTTCTACCTCATCATCAACGTGGCCGTCGGTGGTACCAACGGCTGGTTCGAAGATGGCCAGTCTGGCAAGCCGTGGGTCGGAAGCAGCCCCAACGCCAAGAAGGACTTCTGGAATGCCCGGGACCAGTGGTACCCCACGTGGACCCAGCCCGAGCTCACTGTCCAGAAGGTTTCCATGTGGCAGCAGTGCGACGGCAACGAGGAGCTGTAAAAGTCCACTCGAACGGCCATTTCTCTTTTTGGATATTTCGCACATTTACATATAGACGGCTACATGCACAATTGGGATAGATGACGGGCGCGCGGTGCGGATTTTACAACGGAAGGCGATTACTCTGGAATACCAACCTGGAATTACTTACCCAGGTGCTTTGAGCACATATATTTGATGACAATATCTTGGGTTATGATTAGGATATTGGGAGATGCAAACTTAGTACCATCTAATGAATTTGAAAACTTGCATAATCAATTTCGTATGATTCGAACAATCGTTGCCCACAATCAGGTTATCTGCAGCTTGACTGATGACTTCCAAGCTTCAACACTTCCAAGAGGCAGCTAACATCAGAGCCTTGGCACTGCCAGCGGCTTGAGATCCCTGCATTTAAAGACTCAAGGCAGGTATATGGCCGATGCAGTCATCACCACCACAGTAACCGACACCAGCCAGCTGCTGTCAGACGGCGCATGCTACTCGCCTTGATTGTTCGTGGGCCGTGGCTCCCACAGTCTGCAGATGCTACACTTCCAAGTTCTGCCTTTAGTTGGCTGACTTATCACAGCGCCCGGCCGACACCTGTACAACAAGGGCCTGGAATCGATGAACCCAGAAAAGACAACCTTGCGGCAGGCGACTGGTGTACTATCACAGCGTCGGGTGGCGGCAAAACCCAGCTGTGACAGCCTGAAGCCAAGAATCAAGGGTCGGGAGACTGGGGGCCTTGGGAGCCGGCCGTAGCTCATCGAATCACCATCCTGGATGGATCGTCGCGAAGCCTTTTTTTACGTTTTGTTGACCTTTGTCAGGTTTTCCTGATGACACTGGATGCAATGCTACTTTCTGGTGATTGCTCGGGCGTAGGGCCTTGCCACCGGCACCTCTGGACACCTGCTAGTATCCGGCATTTCTTGCTTTGCTTAGGTACCTTCGTTCCCGTCAGGAAACCATTTGCCCTCCTGTATCTGTACTTATTTGCATCCTCCTTTGATTTCGGCAAGGTGCACTGTAATGGGTATAATAAGATTGAGAACTTCATTAAAAACATCAGCCTTCATTAGGGCGGCGGAGATCTCAGTGTTACAGATACACAAGATGACTAGGCCTTGCGACTCTGTCGTGCATGTTGCTTCTTTTTTTTTTTCTCCTTCTCCTTCTCAAAGATAGGTCTCGGGCTGCACAAGCTGGGGTAAGTCACGAATGAGACCAATTCGCCCCCCTTCCCTCCGAACCGGGTGCGTGTGAGACTGTCCCGCATCAAATATAGAGTTGAAGAAAGACCTCGTGGGGCGAGGGAGAGAGAGCATGGGGGAGTTCTGTCTCTAAGTACCTTATTATCAAAGAAAGTTAATTCTTTCTAAGTTATAAATATAAGAATATAGTTTTAATAAAATAGTATAATACTTATTTAATATTTAAATTAAAATACTTTTTTAAATTTATTATAAAAAAAGATAATTATATTATTAACTACTTATTATTAAGGTTTATAAATAGTATTATAGTTTTAACTATAATAGCTTTATTTATAATAAATAAAAAGCCTAATTATAAGTTTTTTAAAAACCTCTAATTAAGAGTTATAAGAGCTTTTAAATTAAGTTAAAATACTTATTAAGATATTAATAATTAAACTAATTTTATAATAATAACTTTAATAAAAAACTTAGTAAATAATATTAAAATCCTCGCTAATATTAAATATAATTTACGAAATATAATAATATAGTTATAAAATATTATTAATATATTTTATATTAAAAAAAGTATTATTAATATTAATAAAATAAATAAGGCTATATTAATATAATATTTTAGTTTTTTTTTATAATTTAAAAATAATTATTTTAAATAGTATTAAAAGTTTATTAAAAAGCTTTTTTAAATACTTTAATATATTTATTATTATTTTTATAATAATAAGATTTTTAATATTTATATATAAAAATAAATTACTTATTTTTAAATAGTAATATTAACTTATTAATAAGTTATTAAAACTATAATTTTAACGATTTTTTAATAAGAGAGAGGGTAAAATAAAAAAAAGGATAAGTAATTTATAAAAAGGGTTAAAGTTAAATAGTATAGAATTTGAGGGTAAGGTAGCGTTTATATATACTATGGTAATCCTTTAGTAATATAAAACGATAGAGTTAAACAGTGGGGGAGTTCTGTCTTATTTATAGAAAAGTTATGCTTTTGGGGGTACTGGTTTATTGATTGTGGCGATGTCATTTCGTGTCTCATACCAGATCTGCCGTGAGTCGAACATGTCATCCCTTCTGCGTCATCAGTGTGATCAAACACAAGTAGTATCCATGTGCGATGAGGAGCGAGAGCTGGGAAGAGGAACCTCTACGCAGTAAGGGCGAATGCCAGATGGCAGCCCCGATTGACCGGGAGAAACTGGGCTCAGAATCTGTCCGTGAGCCCTTGGCTGTCTCTGTTTCTACGACGTCGCCATGCGCGGACAAGTAGTGGTGAGAGCCGTCCGTGTATCAAAGCAGTAGTATCGGGAGGTGTTGGCAGAACCCACGAGTTCAGGTTCAAGGTGAGCTTCAGGTCAATGACACCTTGGGGTCACCGCAGTGGATACCTCTCGGTTCACCATGGAGAGCCCAAGGTGAAGCGGCCGCCAATCTCGATCCTCATCACACAAAGTGGGAACGAGAAGGATTCAATCACTCAAAGTCCAAGGACAACAATGAAATTCAAGGTTATGAGCAAGCGTATGGGGGAAAAGTAGTGAACATACCACTCAGATCCACAGCATTTCCACTCATCAGTGGGAGAAGAAAGATCCATTAGATAGGGCATGTGGTAGCGGGCGATCGCACCCACACACGCCTCAGGCTCTCACCAGTGATTGAAGACTCGCTGTTACTTCAAAGGGAACGGATAAGTGACGCGATTTCATTCGGTGGGACTCGGTCAACGCGGGAATAATGGACAAGAGTGCGAAGATGGGAAATTGGGACTTTTGCGAGGATTCGCATGATGAGTGTGTTGATGAATCAGGGTGGCATTGTGGATGAGAGGGGCTGTTTGTTCTCTTCCTGCCCATCCACCGATGGAGCATTCGTACAGAATCCCCCACCAACACTGCACAATGGGAACTTGGCCAGTTGCCGAGTGCCCGGCTGCTTGGGAATCAGGAAGCCCCGGCAGGGATTGCTAGTCTCCCTGTCGAGGGTTGCCGACCGAAGAGCAGACTTTCCAGGGCTCTCAGTCGTGAGGCTGTGCTGCAGTTTACGGACGGAATTTTTTGATGCGAACGTGTATCTTGCTCACTGCTGAATGCACGTTTACCACTTGCGATATTTCGCGCATGGCGTCCGATATGGCCATGTGTCGCGTTACACAAGCGACGCAAGCGCAGATACGAGCTGCCCCGGCGACATCCTTTGTCACAGAACCTTTCGGTGCGAGCCGTGAAGTGAAAGAAAATCGGGCGGTCCCACGCCCGGAATCGCGGCAAGGCTGGGCAGCACAGCACAGTCTTTGTGCGCGCGCGGCCCACGATTAGCGATGCTGGGTCCAGCCGTCGTTGCCGATTTACACGAGTTCCCGACTGTTGGTTTTGGTTTTGTCACAGACACAAGCTGACGTCGCCTACTATGCCACGGACCCTTTTCTTGGTATGAGATCTTGTCCGTCTTTGATCCTTCAGGTCGCCACAAGATACACCTCTTACACCGGTAGGCAAATCTGGCGGGGGCAAGATATCGGAGCGAGTGCTATAAGCAGGGAATGTCCCGCATCCCAGGGTCTTCGTACACGTGTAAATTCGTTTGTCCTGGGGTTCGCGATGGAGAAACGCCGCCTTGACCTCAGCTTGAAAAATGGGCTGATGGAGCTTTTTCGATGGTTTGTTTCCTCTTGCCAGAAGTGGATTGCAAACACGTCTCGTTGTGCGGCCTCTTTCGAGGTATCCAATTCGTATGGGTCTGGCCCGGCCTGGCCTGGATACTCTCCGTACACAAGGTCACAGCCCGACAAGGGGTCGTTCACGCTTTTTCTCTCCGGAGGATCCGCCCGCAATTTTTGACTGCCTACGGAGTACATAGTGTACAATCCATCCACCCATGCCGGTGGGTCGGAAGATCACCGGGACCCGAGGAATTTCGCCGACAAGCTAGATCAAGCTACGGATAGTATTTTTTCCTAACAAACTGAGCGGGGACAAGAGATAGGAGCTGAGGCGTGCCGCCTGTCGCCGGCATACTGCCGTCAAGGGTGAGCTGTCAGTCACACCGGACGGCAGGCCCGTCGTGACCCTGGCCGTGTAAGTGGGCGGGCGGTGCGTGCGTGCGTGTTGAAGTCGCGACACCAGAGTTGCTCGCTTGAATGCTCGGCAGATGAGTCGAGTACGTCCCTACAGCATGCGACAAGGCTACAGCAGGACGTTAACGGTTAAGGTGAGAGAGTCGGCTGCCGGCAACATGCTTCCGCCGCATGGAGGATTGCGAAATCCTGCTGTGCTATCACAGTCGAGTCTTATCTCGACAAGGGGTGCGAAAGGTGTGATTGAGGACCTGAAGCCTGGAACTTGATAGTGGAAAAGACTATGGGTGACGACCGGGAAAAGCTCGCACCCGACAGCATGGATGACACTGCTATTCCGGGAACAGAGAAGAGTGCGAGACACAAAGTGACAACGGTCCACGGACAAAGTCGCACGCGTCAGTCGACGATAGTCCAGAGTTGGTCGACGCGGACATTTTGCGAGGACCCAGGATGGCGGATTGAGGTGAAATTGCGATACAGAACGCCACCGGCGAGTCGCCTAGGGACATCCCACGTTGTAAGTTAGGTAGTTGTCGCGGCTGCGGCTGAAGACCCTGGACGATATTGGACTTTGACAACGACAAGTCTAGAGAGCCCACCTCGCTCTCATTCACCCCTCTCCACCTATTATAGCCTACCTCTCTGTTTTCACGGATCGGAGAGTGCGTGCGCGGAAAATGGTCGTAGCTAGAGGGGAAGCGAGTAGAAAGGCCGCGTAGTGTTCTCCTGGAAATAAGAGCGCGCCAAAGTTGCGTTACCCCCTATCCTCACTTGGGTGGAAATTGTTACTTGAGCCACGATATCTGCCATCTCAACATCGCCCGTCGCTGATTGGACGTAAAGAGCTGGGCTTGTGGGGGAGAAGGGGAGGAAAATGAGGTGTGGGCTGTGGCCCAGTGTGGCTGCTGCCGAAGCCTAGGTAGAATTCAGTCAAAAAGCTTATATGTGCTGCACCGTCGACAGATGGTAGGCTTGACTCGACAGCGTGCCAGGTTTGGCCTCATTGGTGAGAATAAGACGGGCGTAAGCATGCTATCGACGGGGAATGAGGCCTTGATTTGGCGCGACGCCAATATGGTGAGATTCTGATAGAAAGTGCAGTTGCGATATCGATAGTTGAGCGGCGAGTCCAGGCAGTGTGGTCCTTGATAAGCTTAATTGCATGAGATGACAGGGGGCCCAGGTTGATATTGGGCCTTGACATGCTCGCTTCGGCGTACCCCTGCCTATACTCCAAGTGCTGTCACTTTTGCTGACAGGTGCTGTGGCAATCCAGTCTGCATCGTGAAAGGCGGCGGTTGAGGCATTCAAAGGTGAGAAGGTGGGTTGATGAACAGGACCGAATCTTGGTGCCCTCTCATCCAACGAACGGGCTTTTCCAAGGGTAAGCCTC